AGACCGATCTCTCGGAGTGAGAGTGTCAATGTGCGGAAGACTGGAGCTAGAGTTGATGCGAAAAAAGAAGCAAAAGCCAGCTTCGAGTCTTAGATAGATAGATAATTTTTATTAAGGACCCGTAGGGGTCCCGTCAAAGCAAGTTAAAATAAAGTTGCATGCGAGTTTTAGACGAGGTGGGCTGAATCTTTACAAAATGCAATTCATAGTTTCTGAATTAGAAGTCCATTGAGAAACATGATGATTGAGGGGTAAAAAAAACTCCTCGGAAAAACTTAAAAATGATTGGATTAATTATTCAGGAGAAAACACCCCTCTTTAAAAATAGTAACAGAAAAAAGCGAGCAGGACTGGCCTGTAGGTGGCGGTATATAACGGAATGTTGTCGGTCATCGTCAGGGAAGCAATAAATGTCGAATGTGGGTCAGACAGGACTGGCTTGCAAATGGCCTTGTATACGGGATTCACAATTGAGATCGTCTGGGCCGGATTGGTACGCCGCGTCAGAAGAGGCCAGACGAGAGGAACCGAGATGCGATCGGCCACAGCACGCTTCGAGCTCAGCCGAGCAGTGAGGAAGGTAGGTACGACCGAACTACTAGCAGACAGTGAATACGGAGGGTTCCGCCGTGAGCGTCGACAGACCGCATGAGGTCGGAATGCGGGAGATGACATCAAAAACCGCGAAAATTGTCGCTATGGGGGAGGAGTGATAGCAGTGAATTTAGAAACCAATTAAAAACAGGGGTCTCTAATGGTATAAATAAGACCGCATGAGGTCGGAATGCGGGAGATGACATCAAAAACCGCGAAAATTGTCGCTATGGGGGAAAGATAGCGATGGATACAGAAACCAATTAAAAACAGGGGTTTCTAATGATATAAATAAGGGTTACCACTTAATCTACCACTAAATCCCAGGAGGACCATGCTCGAAGTCAAGAAGCTGAGTGTTCGGGAATGCGACCGTTAACAGTGCCTTTATGCTTTCCGGTGTAAGATGGTTGCGTAATTTCGACTTCAATATCAGTAACTTAAGCGATAATCTAATTTCAGTCGGAAGATTATTCCAAAGGAAGGCATATTTGGAAGCAAAGAAGAGGGAGCGCTTAGATGTAGTACAAAGAGGCGGCGAAATCACCATGCGGGAGTTGCGCGTGGCATAAGACCGATCTCTCGGAGAGAGAGTGTCAATGTGCGGAAGACTGGAGCTATAGTTGATGCGAAAAAGGAAGCAAACGCCATCTTCGAGTCTTCTAACCCTCAAAAACTTCATGTTCGCCAGCTGACATCTCTGAGTATAAGAAATACTCGACGACGCTTGAGAGAACAGTTTCCGGGTGAAAACCCTCTGAACATTTTCGATTTTATTACGGTCGCAGGCGTTCATTAAACCGAAGAAACGACAGCAGTATTCAAGGACTGGAAGAACAAACATTTGATAAAGTCTT